TTGAAATAATTGAATGAATTCAATAATTTTTTATTTATTTTTAATATTTCTCATACAAAATATTTCTATGTTTGAATATTTGTAAATAGATTTATATATGTACGCACGTATATACGTAGAGATATTTTTCTAAATTTTTTTTACATCACTATCTCTCTTTAAATAACGTCGTTTATATATATCGGCGCTTTTAACATTCTATTGCTCATCCGCTTTTAGCTGTTAAATGACCCGGCAGTTTGGTATTGACTGAGTTTGTTATTTGCGTTTTGAAGATGATTTTTCATGCTTCTGATGATTTTTTTCCTTCATATCGTAGAAATAGTTGCAAAATTCATTGTGTGCTTGTTTCTACTTATTTCCTTAACTTCGTTTGCTGTTGTTATCGTTATTGTCTTTTTGTTTTTTTTTTTTACGAACATCGTCGAATGGCCGGTTTATTCAGGAAATACGAAATGCATTTTTCCAATTCCTATTGGGTTTCAATGTTTGATAATCTTTACAACATGTTTGAAGGTTAGAAAGAACGGCAAAAAATTTACAGTGAGCTATCGTTTTACGCGATTTTAAAAAGTGGCAAGAAAGGCTTGACAAAACGACTAGCAGACTGCGTTAAGAGATTTTGCAAAATTAACTGAAGATGAAGGAGAAGTAAAAATTTTTTTCCTATGTGCTCATATATATATCAAGCGGACTTACATTTGTAAAATGCCGTTTAATTTACTCAAACACATTTAACTATAAAAAGTTTCAAAATGACAAAAAAAAGTGAGTGAATAAAAAGAATATATATACACAAACGAAAGACAAAACACTTTCTCTGGAGTCTAGCCAATTCGTTTTCATTTTTAAAAATTTCGTCTCTAATTTAAAATAACTTAAACTATATGTTAACAAAACATGCAACTCATAACCAAACGATTCTATAAGTGACGATCACAATATTAGAATTACAAGCTGGACTTCCAATTTCCAGTGACGTGCGTACAACAGCTCACCGGACCAACATTTCACCATTTCTTGAATTCATGTTAAATAATACGGTTCATACCTAAGTAAATTATATAATTGTTTATCAATGACATAGAATCGACATTAACTGTCGTCATCATAAAATTGTAAATCTTTTTCTTTAACTTCATACTTCGTATTACTGTATTTTTAGTTCCGTCATGCTTTGGTTTTGATTTCGCAACTGAATCTTTGCAATAAAAATAACAACTTGAACTTGGGAATCAGGACATTCTTCCTTCCATTATCCATATACATTCGATTTGGTATCGGAAAGGGCACAGAAGAAATCAGCTTGCATTTGGAAGCGAAGCGGAGGACAAAGACAAGTGAAAAAATTTATGAAATTTTTCGATGTAACATATAAACTACTGGAACTGCGCAGGAATGGCTTCATGGCAAATAACATATCCAGGTGCGAGCGGAAAAATGTATATATATCCTTTACCGGTGCAAGCAGATTCTGCAAGGAAAGAGTGGAACATGCCGTCATATCCGAAGCGAATGCGCAGCCGTTTGCAACATCAGTCACCAAGTGTTTGGCGAACAAGTCATAACGTCAAAATGCAAAGAAGGTGGCGGGATTCATAAGTATCCTAAAGCTGGTCGGGTAAGGGTATGGGTGAATTCAATAGGCCTCCCAGATCGTGGTACGGATTGCGCATATATGATATTTAATTAGAAAAAAAAATTTAGTTATTAGATAAGCATGTCCCAATTGAAATCTCATAAAAAAAGATTTTACTGTTGTGTTGTTTACAAATGAATACAACGACTTTGCAGATTAAACGCGATGTTTTCTTAATGAAACAAAACTTAAATAGCTTGAAAATAATGTACGTAGAAAAAGAGAGCTTGACTTATATAAATTTAACAAATGGTCGGGTTGCCCTAATTAATTGTTTTGGCGTAAGTTATAAATAAACCAGAATCAAAAATAAATCCTCCACTTCTAACATTTGCTCTTTTCGCTTATGTTCCTACTTTTCGTTTCATTTTTATTAGTTGCATTTCATTGCCTAAAACACTTATTTTGTTGCTGTCAAGCGTAACGTTGACCAACAACAACATTACATTTGCTAAAATGCCGGTTATGAAGACAAAATTCGTATTGTATATTAAACATTTTTTTCATTAAATATTAAATATTGTAGTTACTTTAGGTAAGTAAACTATAATATATTAGCATAGTAACGATCTTAATGATTAATACAATATTTTAACACCTAATTACTAATTAATTATATTAAAAGTTTGTGCCTTTCGTATATGTTTAGTAAGTGAGTATGAGAATATTACTTTTAGACACTCAGCCGCGTAAAACGACATGTATAGGAATAGCGGAATATGCAGTTATTTTAGCCATGTTAATTAATTAGGTCACCAGAATCCTCGCCGAGTTTTTTATGTGTACATAAATGCCCTCCGCAACCTTCAGCAAAAGAGAAAAAGTTCTGAATTGATATTAGTTTGTTAACAGAACTTCTGAAACGGGTAAAATAAATAAGATATGGTTTAACTTTTAACTACCAGGTATTATTATTATTATTATTATAAATTTAGCCAGAGAATAAATTCTAAGACTAAAGTCTTAAAGCACTAGCATCTAGGGCTATCGGCTTTTATTAAAAAACTCTATCGCACTTGAGGAGGTTTGAACCCACGACTATTGAGTTGCTAGTCGAGACTCTTGCCTACTCGGCCACTCAGGCGGATACACTACCAGGTAAATCAATTAAAACCAGCGAAAAAAATAATACACACACAAAAAACAAAATACAAGTGCGTTTATAAAAAAAATACAGGTTTTATTGAAAACCTAAAAAATAATTAAAATCGAAATCAAAATTTCAAATAAATGAAAAATTTCCCAAACAAGAGGAAAGACAAGACACATACCCATGCGTTTAGAAAAAGAAGATTTGAAAGGGAACTTCATAATGAGAAGACGGATGAACGCCAATAACCCGGTTTAATAAAGAAAATTTTCAAAGGGATATTTTTCATAGCGTATTAAATGAATATATTAAGTGCAATCAATATATTAAGTTAAATGAATTCGTCTCGCTGAAGTTTGTTGCTCCACAAAACCCGCCTAAATTAATGAAGTGCTTTGCAACAAATATATTTTAATTTATTATTTTTATCTTTACTATTTTACTTCTTATTCTTTCTGCTACTTTATTTGTATATTTTTAGATTAAATCTTATCAAAGAAACGGGGTGAATTCATTTGCACATCTATTAATGTAAAGTTTCAGATGGCCTATATGTTTGCAGCAGCAACACAAATTAAAAAAAAAAAGCCTCATGTTAAATAGACTTCATAAACCAAAGTATATAGGGTGATATTTTCTTTTTAAACATTACAACAAATGATGCCGCAGAGTTAATATACACTTCCTTGGATGTTCCTTCTTGTAGCCTTAAATTTGATAGATAGCCAGCCAGCGAGTGATGCATACATTGATGCAGTCAGTTGTCGCCAAAAATATTTAAATATTCGCCATCCTACAAAATAGAAATAAATGAAAAATACCGTACAAAAGGAATTGTAACGTTATTTTCGGATTACTTAAACATCCTGAAACATGCTTGCCAAAGGATTAACATAATCCGCAGGCATATTTACTTCTCTCAACCACTCGACAATTTGTTCCTCCTCTCCATCCTACCTAGTACCACTAGTATCCCAAAATAAATAAACTGGTGTCTCAAAAATCAGCGTGAAAATCAGGCAAACAGGATAGGATTAGTCACGTCCATATATAAAACGCAACAAAAAAAAGAGCCGCTATGTTAAGTATATGCATTCTTCAACTTGACACACGATATGTGCACGGTTTATTTAGTTTATTACCTTTTTTGCTCAATTAGGTAAACCTTCTGGTGCTGATTTGCTAACTAGCAGAAGAAGAAGAAGTTTATTTACTTTTTTGTGTATTTTGTATTTTATTATTTGTCGCAAATATGCATGGTACAATAAGTAAAACCATTATAGTCGGGCAAGGCCTGCCACTAAACACCCTACACCACATTTTGTAACACAATTCTTATTTTTACAACAGAACAAAAAAATTATTTCCATTATATGTTTCTATATAAAGGCATATTTTTCATGTGCGCACTTATCCGGAAGCGGGCCCAAAACGCAACCTAATGTAATGTAATTTTAATCCTTACATAGGGCAGAATCCAAAAATAGGCTTACTTGGTCTAAATTTTGTAGAGTTTATTTTTGTATGAAATTGATATTAAGGGTCTATTTTCATCTTATATTAAAACTTCTCTGGTCTACGAAGCATCAATTTTCACGAAAATCCGTATTGGGATAGGCTCCAAAAAATAAGTGAGATGTTCCAAATTTGGTAGGGCTAATTTTTTATATTAAATTATAACGATGGCATAATTTTTACCATGAAGCATTGAAAATTGTACTTTTTTGTTGTGTGAACATTAGCTTTTGTTATATAAGAGGAGGTTCGAAAATTTCTCCACTCAGTCCAAAGTTTTCATACCAATTTAAAATGGCGAAGTACTATTACTTAGCCACTTTTGCCGAGAAATTTTGAAAAATCCAATCTTTTCCCCTATGATGACTTTCCAGAACACGGCGTTATATGAGGTGTGGTCGAGAAAGTGGACCGTTCATCGTTGGGCCAAAACATGTCACTGTACCAAGTTTCATCAAAATATCTCAAAAGTTGCGACTTTTAGCTTATACACAAACTACACGGAAAGACATCAGACGGCCAGACAGGCTTAGATCAACTCAAATTATGATTCCCAATCGATCGGTGTAAAAGGAGTCTATTTTAAGCCTTTCTGTGGGTTACATACATTCGCACTAATCTAGTATATACTCTGCCTCAAATGATATAGGGTATAAAAAGGTTGCTAAAAAGTTTGTTTACAAATTATTCATTTTTTTCGTGTACTTCATTTTATTATTTATCGCAACTATGGAACAGGAGAACCCTGGCAGCCCTGTTTGGAAAGAACAAATCTTTTGCTCGTTTACCCTAAAAAATTTTTCGTTGTGAAATATCAAAAACAAATACTAAAGTACACTTTGTGGAGCAAAAAAGCGCAACGCGTTCCGATAGTCCTACAAAATTTGCTGTTGCTTCAACTTCGCACGCTCCTTTGCTCAACATGTGTTGCAAACTTGCAAATTTGTTCAATTGTTGATACAAAAAGTATCCTCAGTGCAACACATCTTCAAACGATTTCAGTTTTTCCGGCAATCAGAAAAATTTTTCATCCTTAAGTGGCAGGTAAGTTGTTGGTTGTCCTTTGAGTTAAAGTGAGCACAAAATACAACTCATTCTAGAGGCTTACTGATTTCAACGAATTTTTAAAAAAGCGTAGATCACTTCTTTCTGAATACTACCCAAAAAGGCTCAAGACAAGTGTCACTCGGAAGTCGACGTGTTAAATAGCACCCTTTCGACTGCTACCCGCGATAATCAAGCTGAGATGAGGGAATTTTGCTCCCCTTCTCAGCTTGGTTCTACAACCTGCTTGCAAATCCCACAAATGATGTGTCTGTTGTTTCCATGATCTATGACATCATTGCGCAATAACACCTTGTCTGGGTTACGGATCACTGTGGTTTCTCTCTGAATGGAAAAGCTGGCTTCTAGGCACGTGAAACTCAAATTGATGGTAGAATTATATATGTGAAATACCCGCTCAATCTCTAATACCATTGGCGGCGAACTTAATGAGGAATATAATAATGTCGCAAGAGCAAAAGCGTCTTTTCTACAAAATATTTCCGTCGTTGTCCTTTAAACCACTACCCAACTCTTTTTTCTCGCCGTGGGAGACCAAAGTCCTTATCTCAAAATGATCCGAGCAGTGACGCTCACGCCACATACCTGGGTCATCGTCAAATGCAAAATCACAGAGTGCGCGTTTGTTTTTTTGGTAGTCTTAACGACTTATTTAGTATTTTTTGTGCTCACGACAATCCTCATCTAAAGAAGCTAATTGCTTTCACCAAAACTGGAGATTTTTCTTTCTAATTTTGTTTGTTTTTTTTTATCCATCTACACAATCGCTGCTCGCATGCAAATCTCACTACCTCTTTCTGGATATCGTATCTGCACTGACAACACATACTGAACTTATCCACAACCGGTTCTTGTATACAAAACGTCTTAAATCAATGTATTTCCACATGGCGCCGTTTGGAATTTTTGGGACACCGCTTGATTGCAATGTCATGCTTGCAGATATAAGAAATTTCCTCCAAACGTATACAACCCAAAAAAGAAATTATGAAACGCCTGAAACTAGATACAAATTTAAGGCTTGATCTTAAAGCTATATTAGACGATGAATACATAAATGAAATACCTTTTGTGGATGTCTATATTGTCGAAATAAATGATAAGAGGCTGATATCGGAAATTTTGCAGAGATTGTCTGTCTTACTACCTCTAAACGATTTGCAACATTTAAAACGTGTAAATGGAAACAGAATAATAATATGTAAATCCGAGCACTTAAGCAAGCATCGTGAAACCTTTGAAGCAATGAAAGAATTATTGCCAATACGGGGACAAATTTTAAAAGTGCCGGCTCTAGCACCAAGACTGCGTTGTCAATACCGGGCAGCAAACAATTCGTGGCCGTGCAAATTTCATAATGATAAATATTTAGAACAGCGATATGAAGGTACAAATTTTAATAGTAAAGAACGAGAATTTCATCTACAAGTAGCAAATTTTTTAAAGGAACTTTCAAAACATCTCAAGGAATGCGTAGCTGTTTGCATAGATCCTCGCTTTGAAAGCGTCGTAGCTGTAGCTAGCAGCGGCCGAGACTTAAATCCTATAATGCATGCTGCTTTGATATTAATCGATTATGTGGCTCAATCACAAGAAAGTGGTGCTTGGAAAGGAAAATACTTCAAGGAGGAAATGTTTCCAGCGGATGATTTAAATTTAAATTCGTGTTTACGCGGTATACCTAAACGTATTATTGAATTTTTAAAAAATAGTGAAGAGTTTTGTAATCTTAAAATAGGCGCCGAACGGCCAAGAAAGAAAGATCATTTGCAAAATATGCCGACAGATTTCTCTGATAATTTAGCGAAATTTGGCCCATATTTATGTACCGGTTACGACGTTTACCTTAGCCAAGAACCTTGCCTTATGTGTTCTATGGCTTTACTGCACAGTCGCGTTAAACGCATTTTTTTCCTTCACGAAAGTAATAATGGGAGTTTAAAAACTCATTTCAAATTGCAACAAGTAAAGGATTTAAATCATCATTATGAAGTGTATCAATTTGTTGCAGAAATCTAAACTAATAAAGTTAATTTCTTAAGTTCATTTTACTCTTAATATTTTATATGCTTTAATCTGTAGAAGCTTTCATCACCCCTTGACGAGCTGGTGATGAGATTAATCCTAGTAATTGACAATCAGCTTCCAGTATAGTTAAATCTTTTGAAGATCCCAAGAATCTAGTAGATAATTCCAAGTCCTTGATTCTCAAACGTACTCGAGCGCCTCGTACATATTCATCACTGTTACGCATAGGTCGCGTACACACGCAATGGAACTTCCACCCAAAATCGATATACAAATCGTCGCCAACTACGTGGAAGATTTTTCCACTTACAATCTTACTTTGAGGATCGCCCAACTGTTAAGAAAAAAATTTTGTAAGATGCTTTCTCATTTCATGTGATTAGAAATTTACATCCACAAGTTTAGATTTCCTCAGCAAAGACGCAAAAGACTCATTATCCGGTTTTTCAGGGGACGGCTTTATAGCGTGCTTTTCAAAGGCTTTTGCAAAACCGCTACGATTATCTGCAGTCTGATCTTCAGTATTTGTATTGAAGCTTAGTAAGCATTGTGAAAAAATGAACTGTTTTTTAGTGGTATGAAGAGATATTTTTGCGGTTTTATGCAAAAAAAACATATCGATTTAAAAACACTATGTTACTCTTACTAAACATTTATGTTACTTAAACAGCTGTTTTACAATAATAATCGAGTTATGTTTAATGAACACAGCTAACTAGAGATGGCGATGTCATTAGTTCTCTTGTTTAATTTTTTAAAATTTATTTTTATTAAAAATTAGTTAAATGAAGTATTTATCACGGTTTGATTTAAATGAAAAAGTTTGTATGTTACATAACTTGTGTGCAAGGGGCAAGTTTTTTGGTTCAAATGCAAAAAAAACATTGCTTTCGTTTGTACGGCATTAAAGTGAAAATCACTAAATGTGCATTACTAATACCAATTTTAAAAGCTTACACAATTTTGGAAATTTAAAATTTTTTTTTATATTAAAATTGAATAATAATCACATAAAATGATTCAACAACAGCGACAGCGTATTGAACAAGCCGTAACCGAAATGATTGATGACATGGATAAGACTCATTTACGTAAAATACAGGTAGTTTACATCACATATGTTTGGATTATGTCGGAACATTTTCCGGGCCGGGTTAATGTGCGACCGAACCGGTTTAAAACTTCTGGTTTTGTCATCCTTTGCAGGTAGATATGCATAAATGTGCTGCAAAATGTTGTGAAGATGTCGAAGCCAGTGTTGAAAGTGTTCAACGTTGTGTTGAACGATGTTCCAAACCTTTCAATCGGGCGCAAAATTATGTGCATCATGAATTAGGGGAATTTCAAGATCGCCTTCAAAGATGCGTTATGGTAAATAAAGAAGAGCTTTCTTAACTATATACTCACTAAATTATATGTAACTTTACTTTTGCAGCAATGCAACGATGATGTTAAAGTAAAAATGTCAGCTAGTCCTTCGGCGGATGAAGTAGCGAAACACACAGATCAGTTTGAACGTTGCGCAGTTAAGTGTGTAGACAAGCATGTGGGTTTACTCTCAACCATGATGAAGACAATGAAATCTGTTTTGGCTAAAGGACCCGATCATATACCTCAAATACAATAACACATTCGTCCATATATAATCATTAACATTGATTCGGTTCTTTACTTCTAAAGAATGGAAAATAAACGACAGCGATATATTTTATGTTTATTTTAAAATGTTACAAACTCGCTCTTTGTTTATTGCCTTCTTTGAATATTTTCGGTGTTGCAAAGAAGAACAACGGTCAGTCCAAATCAAATTTTAGGTATTCGGGTTGTTCAGAGCTAGGTCTTCTCTCATTATTTAGTTACTTCTATCCGCGACTAATCAATATCCAAATATTTACATGCTTTTCATGTATAAAAATAAAACACAAAAATAAAAGTAAAGGTATCCATTACTTGAAACCCTTGTAGACGAAAAGTATTCATTTTAAACTTTATAGTTACCAATTAAGAATATATTCACGAGTTTCAAGAATTTGTCGTGATTTCTACGATCTTCCGCATTCTAGCATATCGCATATAGACGGACGAATAGATCATAGCTTAGAAAATTTATGTACTTTATGTACTTTACAGCGTCGTTGACTGCTACCTTTTGGCATCACCAACGGAAGGACAGATCGAACGTACTTTCAAAAACTAATTCTCAACAACGAAGGGAAAAACAAAAAAAAAAAAAAGGAAGAAAAAAAACAATTTAGGAACAATATTTTATTTTTCGTTAATGAACAGAATTCTATTAAACATATATTGGTTGTCTTGACTATAAAAATGAGGTAGTAAACTCTAATAATTTTTTGTAATTGTAATGTTGGCTTCCTTCAAATTAAAGTATAAATACTTAAAAAAAAAAGAAGAAAATTGTTTTCAATTAATTGCATGTAAAGCAAGCCGCTGAGTGAAAAACAATGCTAGACGAGCAGCGCAGACGAGTAGAAAAAGCTGTGACCGATTTGATAAATGATTTATATAAGAGTCATTTAAGAAAAATGCAGGTTTTTTTTTACAAAATTCATGATTTAAACAGTTTTACAGATTTAACTATTTTTCTCAATTCAAACCTTTCATCTCTTGCCAGTCTGACATGCATTCGTGTGCTGTCCGTTGCTGCGATGATATAAGAAAACAACCACGTATGGACAATGTACAAAGTTGCATCGATGAATGTGCAACTCCCTTGCTAAAAGCCCAAGATTACATGCAACATGAATTGGGACAATTTCAAGTACGTTTGCAACGTTGTGTGATGGTTAGTGTATATGCTTTACAAGGATTAACTATTATCTTATCTTGTTACTCCATCTATGCTCTGTCTCTCTATTCACAGCAATGCAATGAGGACGTACGCAGCCTAATCCCTAACAATACAAATGAAGCGGATATGGCGCGTTTTCGTAATCAGTTCGAACGTTGTACTATACAATGCGTTGATAAACATATAGATCTCATACCAAACATGATGAGAGCTATGAAATCTGTTTTATCAAGCGGTCCAAACGCTATGCGTCAGGCTTAACGATTCCCCTTTTTATAATGTGATCTTTTAATCGATTTAAAATTAATTTGTTTCTATTTTTGCATTTTTTTGGTAAAAGATGTTGATGCTGTGGTCATTTAATTAAAATAAAAACTGGAAGGGAAATAATTTAATAATTAATTTGATATTCGTTCGCCTTAGTATTTGTAAGTGGATGTAGTTATATCTCGTGTTTTCATCACGCAATAAACAACAGACAAGTAGGAAAGTTGCATTCGGTTGTGGAAGGATTCCTTAATCCCAGCATGTTCATGGTTGAGATTTACTTGGACGACTCTTTTTTTCGTTTTTATACATGCACTATAGAGTTATCCGTAGGAAACACGTAGAATGTTTAATGGCTGTACAATCAGTTATGAGCAATTAACAAAAAAAAAAAAAACTTTTTGGATTTGAAAGCAGAGGTGGTCTCATTTAGAGCTTAACTGCAGAAGCGTCCTTTAAGTGACATGGCTCGTTTTCAATACCAACTTGTGTACAAGAATTACCAATATTTTTGTCAAATTTTTTCCATACGGCAATTTATAACGCAAAGCTTACACTTACACAGAATATTGAATCGATCCAAAATTGATCATGGGCGCCTCTTTCCATATGTCGCAAATGTTTCGAAGAAAGTCATCCCTCGGTGGTGAGAATGAAAACTAACACAAAAAAATAAATCGAACTTTGAATGCTCATTAACTGAAACAAATCTGCTAGAGCCGCACAGTTGATCGTGGGTAACTTAATAGGTTGGTAAAAAGTATTTACCGAAGAAAAACATCCACTGCCCCTGGCAAATACATCTCCGACTTCCAATTTTGATGTCGACGGGAGGGCTAATTTGTTGATTAATTTCCAATAAAATTTCCTTTTTGTAGTCATCGCCGAAAGATGAGGTGTATACTCATTTAGTCAGAACGTTCGCAACGCTCAAAAGGAAGGAGCAAAGATCCTATAAAGTATATGTCAAATCGGTCGAAGGACACGCCCACAGCATCGCGTAATATGAGAACACTTCCGTGTTTCAAAAGAAATAAAAATTGGGTTTCTACTCTTCACTCATAAACTCATAGTAAATATATGTACAAAACTTTGAAGGCATATTCTATTGGCGTTGCTGTAGTATTCGTGCACAAAAATAGAAAAAATTGACCACTTGACTTGACCAATATTATAGTATATCAAAATTTGATTATTTTTTCAATGCCTTTATAACAGGCAAAAACAAGCCTAAAAAATGCCATAAAGTGTGCAAATTTTTGGCCAGTTGCAGCCCTTGAATGTACTTAAACATCTCTGCCGGTTTGCGTAAGATTGTACTATTTGCGGTAAACAATCTTCCATTAGCGAAAATGAAGAAATCGCTTAAAAAGTTGCAAACGAATTTGGAATTGAGCTAAATTTTTCAAAAGACACGCCTACAACACCATCTAAGACAAAAGCTTTTATTTTGAAAATAGAACAAACCAACTGCGCCCGCTCGATATTATAGAATACGAGAATTTTGTCCTTTTACTTCTTTTCTAAATTATGGCGTCCTACTCGGCAAATAATTAACTCTAAATGCAAGTTGTGTTTTCCTTTGCCTCCCTCTCTTTCCGTCTCTCTGATCAAACCAATCTCATCTATCTTGCGCGCTCTCTCTCTCTCCGTCTATCTTCTTCTCTCTATCTGTCTAACGCTGTTTCAGCAGTTTGCTTGTTTCTTATCGTTTCACCTTTTCACCCTTTTGCCTTATTATGAAATTGCACATTGCAAATGTGATCAACTATAACCAAATCCTCTTGTCTGTCCTGCAATTTTCTTTAAAAATCGAGAGCGGCTTTTTGATTTATTTTGATTTGGTATAAGCCTCGTTCAAAGTATGCAGAAAAAATTATTATCATACCCTACACCACGCGTCCCTTCATAAAGCAACGAAATTGTTATGCTTCCTAACGTTTGGGGAAAGCTTCTTTCATTGTGATCCATTGTTTTTTTTTTACCTACCCCGCTTGGGGAATGTTAATTTTGTGCGGATCCATCATTTACTATACCGATTTGAGCTTATCCGTCGACCTGCCCGTCTTGTGTTTTTGTGTTTAACCTACAGGCCGCAATTTTTAAAATATGAAATATGGTAGAGTAACGTGTTTTGGCTCAATTATAATCGCTATTGAAATTGGTTCGGATTAGATCACTTTTCCGATCGCCTCTCTTAAAACACCTCACTTCGAAAAGTCGTTATATGAATAGCTGTTGGATGGTATATTTATTTAGTGTACGTATTTAACGGTAGGCCTACGATAAAGTTATTTATTGTTTTCATTGAGACATAAGTTGATAGCAAAAAAGCAAATACGTTCTTTTTGAATTAATTGAAAATTTGTTCTTAGGTCTTGGAAACGGTTTCTTTATTAAACTCACCATTAGATTGTGTAGTAAATGGCCCTATTGTTTCTGCGATTTTAGCTATTCCGTTGAAACCAAATTAAGATTAAAAAATTCGTTAAGAATCATCCGTATTTGTATGTTCTCTCTCTATATGTGTATATACATAGAATATATACATATATATTGTTCAAGGTGAGTTTTTATTTTTCTTGGAAAATATTTATTTAGTCATCAATACGTACTTTATCCCCTTCAAAGCAATCTTCCTTAGATATAATACACTTGTACCAGCGCTTTTTCTGATCCTCGAAGCACGTCCGATATGGCTCTGATGGAATGGCTCTTGCAGCGAAGCTTTTTTTATCCCCTTAACTGAGCTAAAACTCCGTCCTCTCATAGGTCTCTTCGCTTTTACGAAGAGAAAAAAGTCGCCGTTTTGTCTTTGACCAAATAATATACGTAGCGCACGAAATTTGAAGAGTCAGCTATTTTTTTCTTGAACATACATCGTATATATATATATATATATAAAACGCAAGACATATCTATGAATAAATACACATATATAAATATATGCTTATTTTATATATATATATATATATATACTTATTATATCCACCTCTGTAAGATGGGTGTGTGGTACTCGTCTTGTTTTTTGTCCCTATAATATATATTCTTGATCAGCGTGAAATTTGGAGTTGATTTGACCATGTCTGTCCGTTTACGTGTGTGTGTGTGTGTGTGTGTCTGTGCGCCTGAGTGGCGTGTGTTGTGGGCAGTCTCCTCGTCGCAAAAAAGAAAATATCGACTTCAAATTTGGTAGAAACATTGGAAGTTGTCGCACGCAGGTTGGTATTGAAAATCAGCCAAATTGTTTAGAGCAGAAGCGCGCAGTGGAGCGTAAACTGAACGCAACTCCGTTTCTTTTAACAATAATTTTTAGTTTTTTGCTCGTTACTCGGAATTTATTAAAGTTAGAAGGCCGAAACGTTGCACGTTTACTTTACGAAGCACTCTACTCTTTACGTAGAAGAATCGAAACAATCGACCATGCCCGCATAAAGTTACGATAAGTTAAATTTAATTTTTTTCATTTTTTTAAGGTGTTCTGCTTGTTATCATAAGGCAAACAAGACAGAATACTTAAAACTATTTTTTACACTCCTCAAATGAAGATATATTATCTGCATAAAAATGGGTTAATTTAACTTTCTTACTTGTGGGGCTATATCATCCTTAAATTTAGGCATAGTGGTGGCCAGCAAAGGTCATAAATAGCGGAAGGTGGGAAGACTATTAAGTTAGATTGTAATTTATATCAGCAGAAGATGAATTGAAAATTTCGTATAGCGGTATTTATTTATAAAACAATGTAAAACTGTGCACTGTGTAACTCATGAAACCTGAAATTTTGCATTTTGAGGCACCTGGCGACTAATGTGAAATAAACAACTTTTTTAATTGAACTGTGCAGTGGTCAAAGTCTGTGATAAAAGTTTAAAAGGCAATCGAAACTCATGTGAAATGCGATCGGAAGAGACTGGCACATTCTCGACGCCCAATAAACACAGCTATTGCGCGAATGATTAATTTTGTAAATGAAATGCATGTGAATAACGACCGATCAGACTTTTGGCAAAATTTCTGAGGAAGTTCAGGAACATATACGTGGAAATAGCGCTTTGTTGGACTTGTGAAAATGGTTATTGTATTTTGCAAGCGGAATTTTCTTTGCTTCTCTCTCTCCTTTTCAGAGAATAAAATATATTTGGAAGGTCGTCTTGTTGCTAACTATAGAGTATCGTTTTTGAACAGCTTTAAGAAGAGCGTTTGACAGGAAAAGTCAAACAAAAAATGAGGGTATTGGTTGTTTGGGATGTAAGAAGCATTATAGAAGATTAGACTAGAAGATAGGCTAATTGGATACAAAACTTCATAAAAGAAGATTTTAATTATTTTTGGTCAAATTGCTTGCTTCGAAAAGATGTGCCTATGATATGCGATCGAATTGAAACAGTTACGTTATGACTTCTATGAGTTTTTTCATGTGACAAATGTTTTTCGTTAAATAACGAAGTTCCATCAGAGGTTCCTCTTTGATACATTTGAAAAAAATGCACTGAGCTTAACAAGCAATATTTGAATGTAATGTAAATGGTTTTCTGCAAATTCTCTCATCCCAATTAACCTAAAAATAAATAGAAGCATGTCATTCTTTATTATTAATTTAGGTTTTATTTCTTATATGTAATTTTAAAATATCAATTGCGATGCTTATCCCTAGGAAAGATTGTATGTACATTAAAAATATTTTGTAACAAATTATTTATCATAAGTAACTTTTTGACCATGTTTGCTCCAGAATGTCATAGTACATTTCACTCTTTGGCCTGAATTTTTTTCAAATACCGAACAACTATCAAATGGCGGACAATATAAATGTAATGAAACTGCAGTGTCCGAATGCGAAGTATTTTCTACACGATGCAATCCCAAGTTATCTAAAATACCAGAAAAAGAAATAATCCCTTGGATAATTTCAACCCTTAAATAAAAGAAAGAATGTTAATTTTACCATTTATATAAGCGACATCATTTAAAGACATGGTTCTCTGACCAATTTCATCTAAAGATTCCTGTCTTTCCAAATCACTTTCCATACTTGTTGTATTGCTCGTATTTCCTTCCGCAGCTGTACCAGTTGTCGTTGTGGTTGGCATGGCGTATCGAATTTCTCTTAGTTCACCTTTAAGCATTTTCATGAAGCAATGCGAATCCGAATGATCGTGAATAGTAGAACCGTGACCTTCACCCCAGCATAATATCATTAAATTAAATTTACCATTACCCGTGTCGACTAGATTTCTTGTATATTTATAGCGATCAAATTTGGCAAATTTTTGCCATTCCTTTGGATTCGATTTATATGAAAGCATTAAATGATTTACCATTTCAATGTTGACATAATTTGTGGAGAATTCTGCATATAGGGCTTGAATTAAATCGTTTAACGTTTCCACCGAAGGTCCGTATTTTAAAGGTTTTTCTATACCATAAAAATGACGCGTAGCCTCACGTAAATATTTTTCTTGATCAAGATCAGTATCGGTCTTCGACAAGGACATTTTTAAACGTTCAAGAACCTGAAAATAACATTTTAACATTATATTAAATAATAATCACAATAATAATAATAATTATAACCTACAAATAAACGAGCAAATAAACTTTTCATGTGTGAAATAAACAAATGTTGTAGAATTTTCTTAATCGAACCCGAACCTGATTTTTGTTTTCCTTTCTCTTCTCTTTATACATTAAAGTTAATGTCTGCGCACCAGCTTACAATGAAATGCATTTTTCTATGCACCCACACATACACACATATATATATATGCTTATATATGCTTGTGTGTTTGTGTGTTGATATATACAGTTGCAATTTGATAAGAATTAAAATAACATCATATTTTTCTTGATGTTACTCGGTTTGTTATCACAAATCACAAAAATATTAAAATTATTAAGCTTAAATATCAATTAAATTATTAAATCTCAATAAAAGAGCAAAGGAAGAAGAAGAAAGCGAAATTATTCTCTTCGCTTATCAGTTAAAAATTGCGGTTAATTACGTATATATTTTTGAAAAACTTTTCAGGCCTAAAATATTTTATTCCCCCTCGCAGCATAGTTGAAATGTACAAAGATCTGAAGAGTTCAAGGTTATCTTTCAAGTCGAATCGTCAAATAATATTAAAACTAAAATTATTATATCTCGCATTATACAATATTACCACGTGTGCCATAAGAATATTCTACAAGGTTTCTTTATGTTTGTGTTAATTTCGGCAAGAAAATTATTTCAGATACAATTTCGTTTAGAAACATTGAGTTTACAATAACAACATACAGTCAGATTTACGTGACGTTAATTAGCGTTTAAGTGCATCTCCGTCAATTTCTTCTTCTACATAGCTACAAGAGAACTTGCTTGATTAATTATGCTCATTACTGGTGGTGTTTGGAAAACTTAGACAGCGGCCTATGGGAGAAGTTTGTACATCAGTTTAACCAGGTTAGCCATGTTTTTCCATTTTTTTTTTTTTTTTCAAATAGGGACCGACACAAACCAACACTTCAAAAGTGAATTATATTTTTATTGTAAGGACTGTTGTGTTATGACGTAAAAGTGTGGGTAGGAGCGAAGCCGATGTATATGAAATATTCTGTTTTTACGTCGCAAACGTTACAAGCTGCTATGGTGGACAGTGAGTGGAGTTCGTTAAAAATTGTATAAACTCGCAACCAATATTATGTTCGCGTGTGATATCAAATTTCCATAAAAGTTGTTTCAACAATTAGTTAATTGATTCGGAGGTTATTTTCCATCTCCTTAGTCATTAAAGGTCTATCGGAATGGATGAAAGTTTCAATTTAATCGAGTCGTTAGACATTAACGAGGGAAGAAATCACAGTTTGTATAAATACATCTCACCAGGTCTTTCTCGTCATATGCCATCGCTTTCGAAACTTCACATCCTTTTTTTTTAACAACTACTCTATTGAAATGTAGTGCAAGAAAATAAAGAAAACATCGTAGTGACGCACAGTCCACCATTAAATACCGTACATTATTCTACAGGTATTTATATAACTACTTTGAAAATGAAGCGTGATTGGAAAGTGGTCGGAGAAGTGGCTCGATCCGAAAAAAATTGCAATGTTCACAATTCCTTGGCAAAGATTGCTAAGTAATAGTATTTCTGCTTTCTAAATTGATGCCAAAAATTAATTGCCGGGTTAATTTTTTGAATCCGACTATTATGTTTTTATTTGTTTTTAAGTAAACTTTTCTTTTTTGTCACAAAACATTTTAGACTTGATCGTATCGTTCGATCATTAGCGTCTAAACTATAAGCGGTCTACTGATACAGCGAAATTAAAAGGAAATTGAATGATATTCTTTCACTCATGCAAATGCCGAGATAAATAATTTTTTCAAATAAATATCAGGCAATCCTGACATTGACCTTTTGTTTTTTTTTAATTTTGACCGATAAGCATCAAGGCGGACGACGATTTTTCACTTATTTATTTATTGCTTATTGATTTTTTTTTTTTCAGCTAGATTACCGGAAGCGCCTTTCTTAACATATTTTATTTTTTTCTTCTAAATGATATTTTGTATAAAGATTGTAATTCTCCTAAAAAGTTCAGCTAAATATGTTAAATGATATCCAAGTCATGTTACATGTTCCGTAATAAGGCAAAGTAGATATGAATTAAAATCACATTTCCTTTCCTTCTCACTTAAAAATGTTCGATAACCGTTCATAACTAAATGGAATGAATTCGTCTGTGATATGCCCAAGCATTACAAACACAGTAGACAGAAACTATTCATATGTTTTAACCAATAGTTTATGCATCACATTCGTTTAACACCGATACTCCAAATAATATGCAATTAATTTCATAATAGTTCAAAAAGTGCAATACATTAATTTTTATATGTAAATTTCTTTCAATTTAAAAATAATAAAATTAGTTACCTGTCTGTCCACTAAAGAGAAAAAGAAATAATAAATTAATTATGCACTCACTTTAAAAATATAGATGTTGCACAAAGGAAATTGAAAACCTTGGTGTTGTGTTTTTTTTTCCTTTTTCGTCAAAGAAATTGAAAGTTCTTTTTTATTCACATAAAGAGAACTTGTTTGCGTTTACACGTTATGAACAATCAATGTTTGATTTAATATTAATTCCCAGTTTTCTATTATTCATGAATTTAACATCAAATGAACTGTTCTAAGCCTTCACACACAAAGAAAAAATCTAATAATGCGAAGTTAGTGTGGTGAATTTTTTTTTGTGCCGCACTTGTATATGTAAACAAATCACAAAAGAGCGCATCAGGACCATCTTCGTCAAGTGATCATTGGTCACGTTTTCTCCTGACTAACTAGCTTTCGTTTATCTATGTTATGCAGTTTGAAATGAGATTTGAATTTAAAAACGTCCACTTTGCAATAAAGACTAAAGATGAGGAAAGATTTATGGGAATCTCCAAGATATCAATTAGCCTCTAAGTGCATCATTATCAATTTCTTTTTCTACAAAGATGTAAATATTTCTTTGAATAATTATATTCGGTAATTCCCTCCCTTTTAAAACCTACGCGAAAATTCTTATATCTAGTTATGTAAAATATTATTAATTTTCTTATGAGTGCATCAATATTACATCAATTAATAACTCTTCGGTCTGACACGAATATAATAAGACTGTTGGTAGACCCATATGATTTCTGGATAGTATTGGAGAAAGTTTGAAACCATGTTTATCAAAATTTCGTGACACTTTGACAGTAACCTTACAAATTAAGGACGTTTTTCTGACGCTATTTTTGTGCATTTTAGTGGCAAATCTGAATAAAATCTGCCTTTTTATGGGGAGAAAAAATAACGCACGCAAATATTAGCATGCGCTTAAAAAAAGTAACGGCCAACCTTCTCAGTCGAAAAAAGGAAATTCATGACAGGGGTTGCTAATTTTAAGCACAGTCGAATGGATATCGATAATGACGAATGCTCTGATCACTTGAATTCATCAATTATTCCGAAAAATTTAAGATAAATGGATCAAGAAAGATCGAAAAGTGAAATTGTGTTAAAAGTATCACTACTGGCTCCAGGGCCAAATCAGTAGTTGGCCGACGAAAGCCGTCCAAAAAAGCGACCAAAAGAACGCTGTCATTAAAGCAACTGTAACTTGTAAATTCGTGGCCAAAATGTCGTGATATTCGTTTGAAGGCTGGTACCGTACAGAAATCATATGGGTCTGTCAACAGTGTTGCGATATTTACGTTGAACCGAATAATTACGTGACGTATTATATTTGCGGAAATATCAAACGCAAAATTATTGGTGATAAGATTTTATTTAAAAAAATCGATTGCGCAATAAAGGCATACAGTTAAATATATGTGAGCGTATCTGCAACATCAGCTCTAATGCATAAAGTGCATCCTCATCATCAATTTTCCCCTATGTATATACATAATTACCTTCATTACTCATTCCGTATACAAAATCTAGTCAAAAAAAGAGAAAAAAAAAAGAATTCAAAGCTTGAGCTTCTAGAACAATTTAGCCAAGTTAGGTGCATTTGTTCATTCGTTTTTTTTTTCATAAAAGGATTAATGTAAATTGCGTGACATCTCTGATAAGATAATAGCGATTTATATGGAAGCAAAGCTCGAGTATATGGAAGGCTTTTCTTTTTCTTTATATGTTAAAATGTAGGAATTTTCATATGAACAGCGGTGGATGAAGAAAGAAAGGAGAAAATTATGCCGATAAACCAAAGCAGTAACGGCTTGCAATAATGCTTCCGCACTTCAATTTCAATGAAACACGAAACTAGTTTTCAAAAACCATCTCAGCAAAGTGTTCGAATTGCAACTGTTGCCAAGTCATCACGTGTTGTTAACAAAAAATTGATAATCAACTAAGTCACTTTTATAGGTAACCTATCTGTATCTTTATAGTATAGTAATAACAAAAACAGCAACACCGACAATAACAAAAATAACAACAGCAAAAAATGGCAAAAAAAGCAACAACAATAAGCCCAAAAATAGGAATTTTGATATAAAAAAAAAGAAAAGAAGAAGAAAAACGAATAGTAATTTCTTGTAGGAAATATTGTGTTATTGTTATTTAATAATTTTAAGAACGTATTTATTTGATTTAATAGCCAGCCACATCAGATTTCATTGATTACGTCAGCTATTTCCTTTAACATCCTAATCATTGCATTAAAATCATGCAATGCACAATTTATTAAAAACAGATTAAAAGTCCACATTCGCAAACGTGCTTCAATCACCGAATGATTGATACATCCATACAATGACTATCTTTTCCAACGTCATCATTGGATTCATTTACTACCGACTAGTTTTTAACAACTTTAAATTGTTCGATTATTGCACACGCTCTTAAACATAGTTTTCATAAGCATGTTCAGATATCTCTTGAACGCATTTTCACCTTAGATTTGAATCGGAGCCAATCCAAAGTCGTCATTTAAGCTGAAATTTTTCATAAATGTTTTTATGATCGGAGTAACGTTTGAAAACTGAAAATTTACTTTTATTAATTTAATAAAATAAAAATATTTATTATTTATGTCAGCCAGGATGACGTCGAAAACTATCTCACGTATAAATATTGTTAATCCGAGTAAGAGGGTTCCGTATATATTTACGACATTGCAACATCTTTCCGCTCCTTTCTCGATTCTCTAAACATGACATCGGCATTGCAGGTGCGGTAAAATCGCGCTTATGACGACGTCAGGTCTATATCTTTAGATACGAATAATTGCGAGAACGAAATAAGAAGGTTCAATGAAAAAATAAGACAGAAGGTACACGAAAGCTCTCACTTAAAGGTCTCCTAAGGCATTTTAATTGGCAAAATGAGTGATATTTAGGAAATAGTTTGCAACAGGAATTTATTGATTTGAGATAATAGCATCGGAGCGATCAAAGATTCCCTTCAATGTTGTTTTTAAATGATCATCCGTTTGTGAAACTTTAAAAAATCTTTAAAAACAAATCCTCGACCCACTTCCAATATTTCTTAAAATATCAAAACAATTATTTTTGAGTATTGAAAAGACTTTCTATAAAGAGAGAAATCATTTTCTTTTTTAAATATTCCTCTCTTAGTTTTTTTGTTAAATATAAAAATTTTCCTTTTAAATGGGGTCGCTGCTGTTTACTTTTGAGCCAACATATATTGATGATAAATCTTGCATAAATTTATTCCAAATAATAGGTGAGAAGTCTATAACGGGACACGAATCTCCCCACCCATTATACCCTACACTAATCCACAGATATTTGGATAATAAACTTTCAAAAGAAGACTCCATATGGCAAGCGGACGCAATTTTTTTCAAACATTTTGATAAAATTTAATACACCGACGTGTTTTAGCCCAAGGATGAAAGCGATTGAAAATGGTTCAGAACTGATCACTTTTATAACGACATGTTTTGAAATTTCGGTATGGATAAATGTAGGGTAGTAGGTAAGCAACTTAACAACGTTCCGTGCTTTTACTCGTTTTAATAGGACCAATTAATCAGCGGATATTTCCAATACGTGTCACACGATGGTGGTCAGAAAAATCTAGGGAAAGAGACGGAGAGTGGCCGCAGCCTAGTCGCCGTGTGCGCAGCAGATGTTATGCCTTTACTGAGTAAGCACACACCGTAGCCACGACCAAGTGCACTCAAAACGCATTGAGATTTGGATCCACGCACACTAACTTGCTAGTCGCGGCTATTATCTGCTCTGTTATGGAGCAGCCGATTTCCAAGGTCCAAGTTCACTGCATTGAAATGCGATCGATCAAACAACGCTCACAAGCATTTATTTTTTCTGAACTGTTTTGAGTTGAAGTGATGAATATCAAAAGCAAATTTTATTGCTGATGTGTTTGTGCTCTTAAAGGGTGTTAATGAAGCTGTCTTTAGCTAGCTCTCCAAAGATAGTAAACATATCAAACTGTTTTCATGCTACACAATAATGAATGATCGGTTTTTTAGAAGTACTGTCTTACGATGTAATGCAAAATAACTTAAATGTTAATACTTACCATTTTAACAGACGGTTTTTTTTCGCTTTATGGGTCTTGTTGTAATTGTTACTATTATTTGCAACGTTAACAAAAATACAAAATTTTAATTTTGCACAAATTTTCTGAATTAAAAAAAAACTTAATCACTTGTTTTGTTCAAAGCAAAAATTGTTTTCAAGAGCAAATTACCCCCGATTTTTTACAAGCGAAATGTTTTTCTACTTGGTTTGCTCTTAATCTGTTATAGAAAAGAACAACACTTTTTAATTAAAGCTTTGGGTGGTCACCCGGCTTAATGGTATTGATTGACTTAGCAATTGCTTAGTTTAACTTTACTTATATCGTTTAAGTTGTGATCGTGTTGAGATCTTTAATGAATTTGTGAAATTTTTGTAACATGCTTTTGGTTTTTGTCTTATTCTTTTCCAATGTGGTCAAGGCGAGAATGAGAGAGATTACTTTATACCATTGGCTCATATCAAACCGTTCAGTATGAATGCACTTTCTCGTTACAGCCTTAGCCAACTGTTATTACCAATCGTCACGTTTGAAAGATGATTAGCTTCTTGTACAGATAATTTTATTGATGATGATTAAAATGAAAAAAATTTTTTAATACCCTTAGGTTAAATAAAAACAGCGATAGATCACTTGATGTTTTAATAATTATTTATACCTATATCTATATGAATGGCTTGTAAAACAGGGATTTTTGTTAACAGATAACATACGGTTTTATAGAGCAACAGCAGATAGCAAGAGAAAGCACGAGTATAGCTCAGGTTGAATCTTGCTGGCACGACTCTATATAAAGATATATAGTTTTTTTTCATTTTAACTTTCCCGGGAAGAGTGTATTTCAAGTGAGCTTAAATTGCTTTGATTATCAACATATAGTGCTGTTACATAAGTATCCACGAGTAAATGTTTAGTGTTCCTACACGTACGTGAGGAAAAATTAAATCAATTTAAATAAAAAAAAAATTTGATTCGGTTGGGATCAAAACTTTTAATAATCACGAATAAGTTGTTTTTGTTTTTCTTTCATAAATACCTATACAGAAATGAATGTTTTCAATTTATCACTTTTCTTAAGGCTTTAACAAATCTAAAAAATATTGAGCCTGTCACATATCTTTACTTACCTTAATAAACGTAGTATCGTAAATACGAAATATTATTGCATTACTCTAATCTAATCATGGTAACCAATTAATTGATTGCAGTTTATAAAGCCTTAGATTATACCAATAAGCCGTTCATTTATTAGAAACGATGAGGAATTGCGAGCAGAAATGGGCTCAGCAGCTTTTACATGTCTCCACGATGCAATAAATCGCCATCAGATAACGCTATATATTGCAACTTCGAAAAAAACTACCCGAAAACATTTTTCTTAAGTAATATTTATTCATGTAGAAATAAACAATATGTTTATAAAAAGAATAGTAAAAATAATGTAAAGCTAAGAAAGCATAGATATTTACATAAAGGTGTTGAAATCGTAATAAGTTGCAATAAAGTGTAGAGAGCGCTTATGAAAACAGAACCTTAGTGAATCTTACCTTATGTGACGTCAAGAAAAGTGGTCGTGGTGTTTTTCCTACAGGGTTGTGTAATGTTAATAGCGCTAACTTTATCAAATCCCTACCATGCCATACATGCAAGGTAACAGACAATAAATAATTAAACGAAAACATTGTAAAATTTGTTATTTCAGTCAGTAATTTGGAAATGAATCTAAAAAATTCTAAAAGATTCACATATAAAAAAAGTCGTTCGCAAAAGGTTCTCATTTATCTATTGTATAATGCACAACTTGGATTACTCCACTACCTTTTAAATCGCTTTTTTCTCTTCGTCTGTTCATCTGTCCATGTTATACAATTTGTTTATGCAATTTTGTCTTCAATCCAAATGTCGCAATTTTTTGAAATAATGTAGATTTTATTTGAATTTAGTACACTCACGTGTTTTACGCCAAGGATGGACCCTATTAAAAATTGATCGAATATAATTCTTTTCACGATCACTTTTTGTAGAACACTTAGTCGCGAAGAAGTTATTAAGTGAAGATAAATTTTAATTTTCAAAAATTCTCAACAAAATCCCTAGGTAATAGCAATTCCGTATTCTAAATTGATGCCAAAGACTGTGTTCCAATGGGTCAAATTTTTGAATTCCACACACTACTTCAGCTCGTATAATAATTTGTTTAAGAAGCTTGAAACCTCGAAAAAATCGCGAGGACTTTTCGCTTCACCTAATATTAAAATTTTGACGTTTTTACCCCAAACTCTCTAAATTTTCATGAAATTTCCTATTTTGAGCAGGGTGCAAAAAATAGGCGTTCTCTAAAACACAACACGTGACCGTACCAAATTATGACCTACGGGTTGAACACAAAAGAGCTCAGAAAGATTTTAGACGAATAAGTGAACATACAAGATGTGAACACACCTATCTATCTGAAATGCTTCTGAACGTTACATAAAGCCGTACAAACTTAGTATTCCAATTACCACAAGTGATGTAAGGTATAAAAGTGAGCGCAAGAAATGCTATCTTTCTAATGTTGATGGCAATCTATTTTTCAAAGGCGGGCTCACACAACCAGTATTACTAGATCATTCGCACCTTGTGGCGTTAAAATCGTCAATTACATTCGCAAATAAAAAAAATATCATGATTCAAAAATGCAAGAGTGTACGGTGGACGTTAACATGTTAAAATGGGCGCTAATATCGCTAAAGTTCTTGTTGACATTTAGGTCATTTACAAGCGAATAATTTTAGATTATATTAAAAGCAGCATGCAGCAAAAGGAGCATGTTTTATTCGGTTTCGCCCAGAAAATTTCGATTTTTAGCAATGCATTATCAACTACATAACCAATCATGGATACGCTGTTAGCTGTCAGGTCTTTGGACTACAGCTTAATGCAACCAAGCGCAGACCTAGCTTTACTTAAAGGGAGCTCAAATGTGCAAATTAAAACGTAATTTTTGATCGATTCTTAAATTTAGTTGCAATCATTGAAATGAGGCTATTTACCCTACCCCTTGCTATTAGAAATTTTAATAATATTTCCCTTCCGAACCCCACGTTAATAATAAAAGTTATGCGTTCTACTACATCTACCTAAGTAATTGTCTAAGCCTTTATAATCGGAAGCTATTTTTATTGCTTATACTGTTATTTTCTTTAAGTGGTTTTAAAGAGATTTTCTTATCACCTTCTTTCTTTTCAAATGCAATGAGCTTAGATAATACTTCCACATTCTTCACGATAATTTTATTAGGTAATAAAGGAAAATTGTAAAATTGTAAATAATGTATCTAAGTGCATCCGATGGGTAGGTTTTTGTGAAGCGAATGGAAGATTTCATTTCGTTTTTGTTTTTTATGTAAGGCTTTGTATTGAGTTCACTGTATCTTTCAATGTATTGTCGTAATCATTGCTCTATTTCCATTGGCCCCATACGAAGTGAAAAAGACCGCAGCAGAGTCTTAGTTGATTCCACATAATCTCATCTTTTGTACTTGTCTAGCTTGAAAATGAACTGCTCCAATTTGGACAAAGAATTATGCATGAATCCACGCTCTACTGTCAGAAACTAATGCGATGGGACAGAACTCGATCAAAAATTAATAGATCGCATACATGATTAAACGTTGATAAAGGTACAAGGACCTCGTCTGGAAAGTTTTCATTCATGCACCGTTTAGCCCAGAGTTTGGTCCTTCATTCTTCCGTTTTTTCGTGAGCTCTCTTCGTTCTGTAAAAGTCTGATTTCCACAGAACTCTATTAAAATTAGCGCAAGTTTTCAAAAGTTCCGCACTGATGGCCCAGCCCTTTTACTAAGAAAAATGATAAAAAGCCATCAATTAAAATGACACAGACAAAGAGCCCGCTGCCACATAGTATCAAATCTTTTGTCAACGTAGGTATGCTCAGAATAGCAAAATAAGGGTTTCCTACAATTCTGAAAAAAACGTTGAAATGCAATTTTGCAAACCAGTTTCAACACTGTCGCTCCATCTAAAAGAAGTAAAGTACTCCCAAGATACTAACCTAATATTATATTTTCGTTAACTAATTGGTTTTCGTTTATTTTTAATTTTAGAAACTGTGTTCGACATGTGTAAAAAATTAAATAATACAATAGACACACGAAAAAAGAAATATTTACAGTAATTGTAGTTTATTGACGTGAGAGTACTGTGAGTACAACAATTTCGAAACTAGAAATTGAGTGTAGATTAAGGGTAGAAAAATGGCTGGATAGATTATAAATGTTTGTTAAAAGTTTGTTTTGCACAAATTTGTAGTTTTTGAATATGGCAATAAGAAGCAGAGAATCAAACCGGATTAAACTTAAGGACGATGCAATAAAATATTGTTTTGATAATCAATTTCTTGCTATTTATATCCATCACAGAAGGATGAGGAGTACATTTATTTTGTCGAAACGTTTGCAACGCCCAAAAAGAGGTTTCAGAGACCCCATCAAATATATATATTCTTGATTTGTTGCACGCAGATTGGTATTGAAACAGACCAAATCGGTCGAACTATATGCGTTCCGTACTACATAAACTGAGAACACCTATTTATTTCAAAAGGATTAAAAAATAGGTTTTTGCTATAGGAAATAAAAATTAGAAATAATGAGCGGTGCTGCGGTAGCTGTATAAAAATGTATCAAAATATATATTTTATAATGCTTTTATGACGCGCAAAAGTAAAAATGTGTGTCTGTCCATCTCTCCCTCTGCTCAACTGTGAAGCAATTGTGATAAGCAGTCTCCCATTCGCAAAAATTAAGATATCGTCTACAAATTTAGGAATGAATTTGAAAATGACCAACAGTCTTCAAAGAACACGCCTACAACGCCTACATGTATATGTCACAAAAACGGTGAACACCTCTGCTGTACCATACATTCAATTGGTAGTGAAATATCTGCAGTGAAAATATTACACGGTATAGGTGATAGAAAAGATCCTTGTGGACAAGTTGTACCGATTACAATGGAGTGAGAACCAGAGGATTCCATAAAGAGCTTCAAGTATCTATTCTCCGAATGTTTTATATGATTCTAACAATTTCATGAGGAAAGTTCTACGAAGCATTTTAAAAATGAGTCCATCCGGTAAAGATTGTTGATCCATCGATATCTTCCGCAAATAAACCCAATTAGAAATATCGCAGTAAAAAGTCGCATAAACAATTGAGCCATGGAATTGTTAATTCGTTTATAATTTGTTTAACAGCAATTACTATTTCTAATCGAAAGCAAAGTTCATTTCAACTTGTTTATGATAAGCAAACAGATTGTTCACTTTAGAGAAAGGGGAAATAGATCATTCAAGCATAATTTGTAAATAAAATATTTATGCGCGTCTACGCAGAATTTGATTGACGGAAGAAATAATTTTAGAAATCTACAAAGAATTGGTTTTTTAATATGATTGCGACGATTCTATATTGTGTGAAATATGTAATATTTCAGATACCTTACAAAGTGTGAAGACTTTTTTAAGAACCATGAATAGCAAATTGATTTAAAAAAGAAAAATTTGAACATTTTCCAGTTTTTTTTAAATTGCCGTATTTATATATGTTAAATCAAAACTTTAATTGGCCCTTTAAAATTCCACCGCTAAATTTCAACATTGATTAAATCGGGCAAAACGCTTTCGATGAATCCTGCGTTTTCCAATAAACCAAAGGGGATTTCCGGTGCAAAAGTTCATTACGACGTTGTCGTACAGTTAACTTTGATCTGGGCCTGAAACCGTGTTTCCTCCGGAACGACTTGACCATGGTTAATGATTAGTTATGAACATGGTTCGAAAAGAAACATATATGGGGGCGTCCTTTCCAGTGAAATTAGGATGAGCAAAACAGCATTTCCTGCGTGCAAGCCACGCGTAAATTTTGATGACTCCCTTGTCCTTATTATAACGCGCAAAACAATTATCATGAGCCTGATTCGCATTTAATTCTGGATGAAGCCTTTAAGGCACACTTCAACGCGTTAGGAATGTATTATACAGCTTTGTAGCACGCAAATAATGTGGACCCCTCAAAGTGTGGAAAGGCACCGCCATCGCTATTGTATAATACTACATGATTTTAAATATCCATTTTCCATTCGTTCATTGAGGAAACTTTCCCGTCTACACAAAGTCTTTTTTAATTACGTAACGTTTTCGCCGTATGCTGACAAATATCGCACCTATGGTATTGTATGTGGACGCACCATAATAAGAACAGAAAAATTCGATGTAAGCCATGTTTACTTTTTCTTTATAAATTTATATGGACTTCAGTTTATTCTTGTCTTTTTACAAATAACGCATATTTCTAGCAATAATAAAAAATCCAAATTAATTATACTTAATTAATATTATGTGAAAATTCAGTTATGTATATAAATGCGTAATAAATGTTTGCATTCTTTCACTTAATAATTATCTAACTATTGAATATATTTAGTCAGATAATTCCAAATCCGATTCCAGATCAATTACCTGAAAGTAAAAATGAGTAAAAATCAATTAAAATATTATTAACAACAGCTGTCAGTTATTAATTAATTATTATGTATTTCAACACGCATTCTCAAAATTGCGGTACAAGGGTATATTAAGTTTATGGGGTTGTACGCCATACCCAGAAGGACAATTCAGAGTCACTTTCCGAATCGATCGAAGCTTGTTTGTCCGTCTTTATATCTTATGTTCTTGCATTTAACATGCAGGCCACAATTATTAAGATATTTTGAGGAAATCTGGTGGACTAATGTGTTTTGGATCTAGAACCGTAGCTACTAACAATGTTTCGGTTCGGACCACTTTTTATAAAATGCCTTATTTTGAAAAATCGTTATATCGTAGGGTGATGTACGATATTTTAATGAGATTGTGGCCCATGTTTTTAAGCACAATTATAAATGGGATAGAAGTGGAAAATATATAATGAAGTAGTAAATGGTGTGGCAAAATGAGCTAACATTTAAAATTATATTGCGCAAAAAGTTTGCATAATACAAAAAAAAAAAAAGATCTGACAATTGTAAATGTTAACAAACCCTTCTAAGCATGTCCACTATATTTCCTCGGAGAAGTCAACATTGGAGTCTTCTAGAAGTAAACACATTTTTATGTATTGGTGAAAAAGTTCAAACAAAATTGAAATACTGAGAAAAATTGGAAATAATTAAAAAATATTTTAAATAAAATTCTCTAAATTGAAAATTTTTTTTTCAAATAGCGAAAACATGAAACGAAATGCTTACATCGTCATTTACGACTCTATTGAAGTTACGTCTGCGATACAACACATTGTCTATAAAATTGTTATGGACATGTACAGAATAATTTATTGAAAGCTAATTTGTCGCCATAACACAGGATCCAATCATTTGTAATAAGCATAAGCTAGTCTCCCTAAAGAGGGACCTAACGTTGAAACATTTCAATCAAAAGCTCTTACGATGATTACCAAAGCTGAGCAGTGCACATGTACTAAATCAACATATAGTAATCTGCAAGCAGCATTCTATTAAAAGAAGTTAAAAAAGTTAACAAATAAATAATCACAACTTATTCGCTATTCCTTTACTGGACAAAGCTAATTAAACTAATTTCAGGTTCTGATTGTATTATTTGAAAAATAAATGTATGTGTTTTCTCATTGTAGATTCCATGAATAATTTTTTGTAATAGAAAAGGACTTCGTTTTGAGTGCGTCCGTCGTAAGTTTGTTGAGGCGTGATCTTTCGATTGACTTTTAATTTAGCTTTTGAGACATGAAAAAGCTAGATGAAACCCAGCCAGATAAACGCTATGCCTTCTTCTCGATCATTTTGGCAAAAACACTTCTAAACTGTATTGAAATCGCAACCATAGCGCACAACATATTTTGAAAATATCAATCAGAATGCTTTGAAAACCTTAAAAATAATGTGCGTTTCTTGAGCAAATTTTTCCACATTTTGTCTATTCCTCTATTAATTTGCACACAGTTATCGTCAAAAAAATGACATTTGTTATATAACCCTTAATTCTACAATTGCCGTAGAGGTGAAGCTATACATGCTGCCAAAAATCCTCCACAGCAGCAATAGCATATATACCCCTCCTATGTATTGCAGTGTACTGTAATATAATTAAATCAATATTCGTGAATGACAATTTATTTATTGACCTACTATACACTAGAATGTGCCATATCGGCAATTATCCGATGGTATAATTTTACTTTATTCTTAAATTTAGCTTTAAGTACACATTTCCATATATTATATAAGCCTCTTAATTGATAATAAAAAAACGGGTGTCAACTATCATGCAAAAAGAATGCAGATCCCTTCTACATTTATATCGATTCTAGCTAATTGCAATTCCTAAGACCCTATATTGAAGGGTAGAATTTATATGAAAATCGGAATACAAATGCGGAGTAGAAAAGATGTAAAAATCGAAATATGAATGTAAAGTAGAATTTATATGCAAATTTGGAAACTTGATTAGGAAAGATTGCAGACCTTTAACATATTTAACTGTCAACTCTAAAATAACTTTTGTAAAGCTGTAATGCTAGACTGTGAAGGATTATGATTGCCCCATGTTGCAACTCAAAAGAGCGTGCTGAGAACTTTTAAAACTGTACTATAAGCAACACTTTTCTTTGTATACACATATATATAATAAACAATATACACAAGCATAATCGCTTTTTAAATATCTAATCTCTAGCCTAGATTTCAATATCGGTTTGGAATATTCATTCATTTCAATCTAGATTCTTCGAATAATTTACCTCGTTGTTTATTTCCCCAAATTTGGAAATATCAGTTAGATCTGCTAAATAAGTGGAAGTTTGGAAAACTTTAAAGAGAAAAATGTCACCTTCGGCTTGGAAAGCTCCGACAACTTTCTGAAATGTAACATTCTCTAAAAACAAATTCAATTTGAAAAGAAAATCAATAAAACTTACCTCGGAACAAGCAATACATTGAGTAAATTTCCGCGTTGCCGGTAAAATATTTTCATAATTAAAAAGTGAGCCTCGTATAGAGTGCGGTATTACTCCTAAGAGACCTTCAGGTATATCGCTAGTATTCCCATTTGCACCTTTTGTTGTCGCGTAATAGGCGGGAGACAATTCTTTTAACGGTTGTTGCAATAAAGATACCAACAATTCAACCGCATAACTAGCTGCTATATTCGAAACTCCAGGTCGGGTGACAGTACATTGTTGATCCAAAGTACGATCTTTTAGAGACTATCATAAAAAAGAGGAAGACAGAAAGAAGTTACAATTAGTTATGCTTTTATAATCCGTATTATAAAACTTCTCCGATCTATTAGCTTACTCTTTCTGCTTTTATATTTAACATAAGTTTTTTATATTACTATTCGAAATATTAAAAAAAAGATTTAATTGCGCACATAGTTTTGCGGAACAAGAAATAGATGAAAATGTAAATATTCGGAAGGAGAAAATATGAACTATTTTTCGAAAGCAATAAATGTGCGATTGTATGATTAGTTGCTGATCGAATGAAGTTATCTTTTTACGAAAATAATAAATATTTTGCTGTTCATGGCTTTCATTGGATCAGAATAGCCAAGTTAGTAGAAAAATTTCGTAATAAGAATTCCTAACATTCACTATCTTCTGAAATAAGCCAAACTCTGGTACAAATAAAGTACAAATAAATATGCAAGTGAAGCCAATTGAAATAATCATTTATCATTTCCATCAATTCAAGAATTTCGTTGCAGTTGTTTTATTCAAGAATTGTGGAATATTTCCATTTAACAGAATTTCCGAGGATATTTATTGAAAGCAACTCTGTGCTCTCTCCATTCTCAAACTAATATTGTAAGCATAGCGTTTCCTCTCTTTCTAGACAAATGTCCCATCTCGTATACCACATTATATAAGTCTCTTTAGTCTGTTTTTTTTCAAATTTTGTAATCTCTTAACATCCCACTCACTAATTCAAATATATGAATGCGAAAGCTGGAATGCTCTTCAAAGCAGTGATGTCGAAGCAGTAATCAATTTGCGAACCTAACCGTTTACACCGCTACCTACATTCGATTAGCAATTAGACTTTTCTCTTTATTATGTTTTGTGGATATAATTCCCAGTAATTATTTTGATAAAGAATTCACACAACGTTTACGACTCTCCCATAAAAAAGAGCAATTTTAATTCTCAGAATCTTATGCTGTTTAAGAAAGTTTATTTTAAGGGCATATGTGGCCAACGCAAAAGACATATGTAGCAAAAAAAGATCAAGTTGGTTGAAAGCCTTGAAATCTTTCTCCCAAGGACAATTCGCAGACGATTCCATCTAAAAAAAACACACCTGCTTTATCTTTACAGGAATAACAGGACGGGCGAAACCACTTCCCGAAACGGCCTATCAAAAGCCCTGGGTCATTCTGTATCCTACCCCATCTATGGTGGCCCACTATTGCCATTGATGGCAATATAAATGGAAAGTAGCTCAAACCTAAATGTTTTGGCATCTCTGAAATAGACTATTTAATTCACGATACTTGAAAACTTTATCAACTTTTGGTTACAAGCCAACCATTCACCGGTGCAACAACTTTCATCCATTAGCTGTTATAAGTCTATTGAAATCATTAAAAGACTTTCTCTCTATATATATATATATATATGAACACTTGAAACGCTTTTTTGTTTGGATTATGAACACTCTCCCCTAATAATCATCAATATTATTTATTTAAAGTGCTGTTGATCGATCGCCGCCAACAGTTGATTTTCAGTTTACCGTTAGGCAAACCAGAGAACTTGAATACAATCGCAACTCTTCTATCGGTTAGGTGCGTTCAACCGATTCATGTGAACAGAAAACGATTTCTAAAATGGCTAGCGCACACGACATGTCGTGTTGGATTCTAGCCGCTTTCCGTCGTCTAACCAATGAATAAGGTTATTACCAACCAGTATTTGGCCGCTTCTGGCCGATAGACATTGAGAAATTTGGAGACGCAAACAACTTATTCTCCCGTTTATTTTCTACAAAGCAAATACATATACACTTTTTTATTTGAGAGAAAGACGGGAAAGAGAAATAAATAACTTCAAGATGTGTAAACGAAGTAATGCGTAGTGCTTAAGACCAAATTTTCTTTTCTTATTTTTCTTGTTTCGTGATATGCATGTCTGTGATAAGGCAAAATTAAAAAAAAAAAAAACTACCAAAAACATATTTAAGTAAAGAGAGAACACACAGCAATAAAATGATAACACGCACGCTGACAAACCTTAAAGATACTAACTATAACCAACCGTTTGATGTCATAGTAAAAACAGATCTTTATGCGATGTTTACTTAAAATATTGCGTTATAGCGCAAAACACAAAAGTTTGTCACCAAAGTTGTGCACGGAAAAAATTAACAAAAAATATTGTTTTGTTCATTAGTGATACCCTTCTAAAAGTGTTTGCTTAGCTGTGCAAGAGAGTAAAAACCATAATAATGTTAACCGAATTTGCCGGAAATTTAGCTCATCATTTAGAATTTGGCCATGCCCTAGAGATTGTCGCAAAGACTGTCGATAGTGCTTCAAAGTACGTTTTCATAGTGTAACCGTTAAAGTTATGAATCGATATTTAAATCGATATTTAAATAGTTTTAGAAAGAAATGCACGGATTTTCTTCTTTCAGATTTCATATATCCTTAGTAACGGAAAAAACAGTTATAAATCCCAATGCCGACGTGGGTTTACGATTTTCGATATATTTCCGTGATCATTGTATAGTGCGTAATTCCCGTATTAACAGCGAATGGGGCGAAGAAGAAATAAAGGACAATCAAAATGCTTTATCGAATCCCATAAGACCAGGGGAGTTTTTTATGGTTTACATATTAGCATGCGAAGAGAAATTTCATATATCGATTAACAGCCGGCCATTTTGCACGTACCGATATCGCGTTCCTTTGGAATTGTTGAGAGCTTTAGAAATAAAAGATCAGATCCAAGTTATTAAACAAATCGATCATCGTACAGTCTTTCCAAATCCTTGGCCAGCTATACATGCTTCAGATTACTTTAAAGCATTTAGTAATGATGTTCCTATACTATTTTGCCCTGGTCATGTTATTGTAATAACAGCACGTTGTTTTGGTAACAAAAAAGGACAATTTATCATCAAATTCATGGACTCAGATACGAAAAGAGAAGAATTACATTTCAGTGTAAGATTCGATCAACAAACAGTGGTACGAAATTCATTGAATAAAAACTTTGAGTATGTTTTTGAAATTAGACTTGGTTACATGAAATATATTTCAGCTTTTATACCATCATTTTTTAGATTTGGCCCGGAAGAGCGTCATGGTGGCTTTCCCTTCATTTTTAATCAACAATTTAAACTTGCCATAGCATTTACTGATAAAGAATTTTTAACAGCTTTAGATGGTTGCAATTTTTGTAGTTATGCCTATCGAACGCCGAATATATTACAAAACCTTGTGGGTTTCAAAATCACTTGCATTAACGGCTTGCGAATGCATGTGACCGGTGTTGATCACGTGAAGTTAATTGATGCTCTCTGCACGGGTTTTGAGAAATATTCCCGAGTTGATTATGAATGTGCTTAATTAAATTTCTTGCCGTAATGTAAATAAAGTGCCTAATAAAGTGCTTTTCACTTACATTTCCTGGTGCTGTAACGTCATTACAAAAATAACAGCCCAAGTCTTCACCTTTAATACATCTCAGATTATCTACTTGTACTTCTGTAGCTGAATCGCCGATTTTCTCCGCACGCTTTGTAGAACCATGGCGCTGAACTAAATAGCTATCAAAGCCTAGAGCAGCATTAATGACTATCTGAAATAAAATATTACAAAAAGTTAAATATACAATTTTAAATTTTCCTTTCTTTGTAATTCAACTTCTAATTTGCCTGAACAATCTAATAGCTTTATCTTTCACAACTAATAACGAAAGAAATACATGTGTCATGACCAGATACTTTCACATCGATCCGCTTGTCTCAAATGAAAAGAAAACGAAAGCTTGGTATATTTAAAGGGTATAACTCAACTTTAAACTAACCAACAAAAAAATGGAATCTTAAGATAAGTATCTCAAATTTAGTACAACTGATATGCTCTTATTTGGAAAATTCGCTTTTATTTAATCTTGAAAAACAACGACTAATTTTTTACAAGATTCCATTCAGTGCAAGAGATTTAAAAAAATTGAAAGATATTTACATACATTAATCGCGATTTTGTCTAAAGGGGGTTTCGAGTTGACCAAATGTATTGCTTAGCAACTAATGGCAAAATGATCCTATGTTTCAATATCGCACGATTGCCTCATGCCTCTTCCAGAAGAATTAAATTTACAGTCGTTTCTACAAGCTATTTGCGAAGAACAAGGATTGCATGTCTAAGTTCGAATGGGATATTCAACAGTTACCAAAAGCGAATATAACTATCCACCACCATCCAGTCGTCTATCCATTTTAATTCCATACAATATTATTTAGCTTAGCTTAGCGAAAGTTCTAAAAGACCCGCAAGTACCTTTTGATAAGCTGTTCCTAGTAGAGTTGGCAACCAGCGGCTTTCTCTAGAATCGGTTAGCAAAAAAAACGCATCATGCTGTTGAGCCAAATCTTTCAATTTACTTAAATCTTTAATAGTTTGTTCCTTTAATCTTTCGCCAATTGGATGACCCGGCATAGGTATATTTAAAACATAACCTGAAGAATTCTTTAAGAAAATTTAATCAGAAATTCAATGTTATTTGCGTGCATATAAGAATAAGCGTCCAATTTGAGAATCATTTGTTGAATAATTGTTCAAGTATTTGTATAAAAATTTGGCCATGTACGAGAGTAAGCATGTACATGGCCAAAAAATTAGATAATGCAAATTCTTATATCATGGCATATTTCTTAGTATATGTTACCACTGATGGATTAATTTCTTTAATACGTTCTGCTGCTATTGTAGACTTCATAATATTGTCTTTGCAAGCGTCTTGATGTGTGTACAAATACTGACGCACCGGATTGGAAAAACTTACTTTACCACTGTCAACAAAAGTAATGCGTTTGAAACCCCATCCCTAAGAAAACTTCATTATTATCAAATGTATTCGATGTGTGAAACAGAATAATATGTACCAATAACGTTCGTGCCACGGCGCAACCTAAAGTGCCAGCCCCAAATAGCAAACATTTAGTCGTCGCCAATATATTCAGATTTAAGTCAGGTAGCAAGCGCCATTTCATTAATTTTAAATTTAGATTTACGGAATTTTCTGCCAAACTACAACATTACAAAATTAAAAGAACATTTTTTAATAAAACTAAATCGCAATTTATCTTACATGGTCGGATCCATGCTCGCTTTCATTGAGATCATACGTGGTTGAAGTTTCCGATTACGATTTAATTCCCAGCCGACGAATTTCACATTTTCATTATTAAATTCCTTCAAATAATCATCAGCTTCAATACTTTGCTTAACTTGCCATATTTGGCTCTCATTCCAATTCATATCTCGATCGTAACGTACGCCAACAAATTGAAGTTTTTGTTGCAACAAAAAGGGACTGAAACAGAACGTTGAGAAAAAAAAAAAGAAAAACTAATATCATAAAAAATATTTGTTGGCAATGTTTTCGATTTTGATTACCATTTATATAATAAGAATGCTACATAAACACGCATCACCCACGATGGTTCCACATATTCACTATTGTCGGCAAAGCAAAAGTATAAATCTTTTATTCCACCCTCCGGCAAGCTTTTAAATTTATTCACGAATTCCTTGAGCGTAAAGCAATTTTTATTGTCTTTATTCACAGAGAGTATAAAAAAGTTTCCTGCGCATTCCGCACCCCTCATTGCAAAGGCTTCTTGTATTAGTGATCCTTTTTCTGGAATGTCTCTTAATTTTACGACGGGATTCATCAACTTCAAAGTACTCGTTAAGGGACTAGGGAATCCAAACCAATAGTAATAATTATAATTTTTCAAATCCTGAAAAGTTAGAAAAACCTCATCAGTGAAACACTAATTCAACCGTGTAACATCATAATTGCTTACAGCAAAGGATAAAATAAAAAATCTAGCTAAACGACTGGGATCTTTTAAAATTGTATCAGTACGAAACTCTTCCAGTAGCTTTGAACCTTCTTGCTGGAGTAGAGAAGTTTTATCTGTTTCCTTGAACTTTTCTAAAGTGTTTTTATTGTAAATTGTACCATAAGCTTTAAAGCAAAATTTCGGTTCTTTAAAATTACTGTAAATATTTCCGTTAAATCAACATACGTAATTATTTTTATTAAATCAAACCAGCATTTCACTTTAATTCACCTGTTAAAAGCAGTACAATCCACTTCCAATAAGCAGGACTTCGCCTGCCGAGGCGAATAGTAGCCGCAAATAGATTTAGGTTCGTCATTTAAACGATCGAAATCTATCTTAATTTCGGTTAACTTATGCCAAAATGAGGGGCTGACGAAAGATTGTAACGGAGCAAATTGTAGTAGAGGCCCTTCAGTTTCCATTAGTTTCAATATCACCAATATTCCAGCTACAATGGTCTAATAAAATGTACGTTTGTTTAATATTTTTCTATATGCTCTTTGTATTTTTTCTTCTTCTTCTTCTTCTGCGAGTCAGACAATCAACAACAGATGATTTATTGAGTTGAATAAGCGCAAATGTAAATATATATATATGTGACGTTCGCCACATACACTACAACTTTTTAATCATTTCAAAAGCATTCGTATTAAGAATTCATTTATTATTTCATTCTATTTATGTAGATTCAGGATTAAGTTGACTTGCAATCGTAAACAACCGATAAAACAAAAATATCACGAAATTCACGCAAAAAAAGATGTTAAGACGAAGAAAGTACTTTTTGAAATCATATGCAATACCATATGTCAACGAGTAAAAACAGAGTTGTTAACATATATGAAAAGTTATATTAGGTATTATTTTATCATTTCAATATATATAATACATAATATATATGACAGATGGAATACATACTGGATGCCTAGTGTGGAAAGCCCGTCATTACGTATGGTATGGTATGGAGGCACAGTACTTTCTAAAAATGCTAGGAATTCCTTCTTACCGACGAGATTAATCAGTTCCAGGAGTCATTGACAGTGCATAAGTATATTATAAGACGCTTAATTGTCTCAGAAAGTATATTGTACGACCAGAAAGTATACTGTACGACCAGAAAAGTATAGCATACGACCAGAAAAGTATACTGTACGACCAGAAAAGTATATTATACGACCAGAAAGTATACTGTACGACCAAAAAAGTATATTGTACGACCAGAAAGTATACAGATATACAGCATATCTCCATATGATGATTTGGTTGGTTATTGTTACAAGTGATGGCTCAAAGAAACTTTGAACTTGAGACTTATAGGGCAGCATAACAGCTTGCTGCCCAAGCTATTGGGTATTTGACGGGCAAACCAGGTGTGTGTTTAGTAGTTTCTGGCCTTGGTTTATTGCATGTTATTGGTAAGTTTACGACACCTCAGGTTTAGAGTTGATATTGTAAAAATTGTTGTATAATAATTCAGATGAAGTACGTATTAATCATAACCTAATTAAGCCATACAATGTTGCTGATATTAAACCTTTTGTTGAGCAATTGTTCGAAGAAATGAACGCGGTGAATTTTCACTTTCACAACCACCGACCGTGGTGGCACCAATTAAAAATGTCAGCAAAATCGTGAAATGTTTCTTTCTTTAGCAATGGATACAATGGTCACCTCCTTTGAATTACTACATTGTCTTTCATCATTTATATCAATTAATATCCAAGGACGCTGTAATCGTTAGCGAAGGAGCAAAAACAATGGGATAAAGTTGACTTTTTCGAAAATATGATAAAATTTTAAATAAAGACTTAGGTAGCTGCAGAAGCCTACATCTGAAAAGAGCCTTTTTCCCTCTTGCTCGAAATCGAGTCTCCGAAACTGGTGTGTCTTGAGTTAAAGTCTCCATCTAGTACTACAAATCGGTGACGAATTACTGTTTTTGACAGAAATGTTACCATAACACTCTTTAAGCTAATATTAATTTTTTGAACAGGACCTTTTCCTATTCAAAAGCAATATAATTAACGCATAAACGTAGAATTTTTACCACAACAAAGGCGCAGTCACTCAAACCATTGTAACTCACAAATAGATGGCCAAAATGGCATGGAACTGTGACCGGTGTTACGTCATACGATCCAGTATTTAGTAATGTAATTGATTATGATGGACCATCAATAGAAGCGCAGGCGGTACTGATGGAGGAGTATCGGCACCTCAAAGCCGAAGTGGAAGCCTTGAGACGGCAAATGCAGAATATCAAAGACGCGAAGCCGTTGGATAAAAATTTTTCTTCATTCTAAGGCAATTATGTTATTATATATGTATATTATTATATATGTATATTCATAAATTGATGATTTACTTTCTTCTGTTTTAGTTTGGATTGAAAAGGAACAATGCGCTGCCGCCTACCGCCTCATATATATGAAAATTCTCTGAAAATTCCCATTTATATAGATTTCTATACATTTTTCATTTTGACCCTAACGGATTTATTAAACACTTATCTACGGTGATATCGATATATTTCATTCTTAAAAAAATAATGTTCATTCTACGGGTAATTCTAACTTGTTGCATTATATAAAAAACCTTTCGGTATTTTACTTACCTAGTTTTTAAAAATTTGTTAACTTTTATATAAGAGTTATGAATGTGTTCCAACTAATTTGGAACATAAACATAACAATGCTTAAGAATTAAATGGCTTAGAGAAGCACCGAATGATCCTTGACGGAGGGCTCTTAAATTATTTGTTAGAAATTAACATAATAGCGAGGATCCCTTTATGTAGAAAAGGCAAACAAGTGTCTTTGAAATATGTATTGTAAAAAACATTCAAATATATGAAAAGGAGCAAGGAGTATGTACAGCATATTACATTTATATAAATTATTGTATATATATTTGTTAATTAAATATTAATAAAAATGGTTGAAATATATACACACTATAAAAAAAAAATAGAAGTACGATATTGGAAACTGCGGTAAAAATGCTAAAAACTACTTAGTGTCCTAAAAGCCTTCCTGTCGGGATCTAATTTGCCCTTTACTTTGTCTGTGAATCTCTGTAGTATCTATTTAATTAAGGGTCCAATTTTAAGCCGCGCCATGTAACGATTATAGGTGCCAATAGTGAACGTAGAATCTGATATAAACTGCAAATCCGGGCTCGGATAAACGTTTTTAGTCCACTTAGGTAAGGCTTTATTATAAAGTCCTTCAATGTATTGTTGAAGCGTTGTAGATTTTCCAAGGAGTTCATTGAACGGCCGGTATACTTCGATAAGCAATTAAACAAATAACCAAATCTAGTATTAAGTTTTTGAAATACATCAGAGTTTCTTAAATTTGACAAAGTGGTGTGGTCATAAGCAGGACAGGCAGCTTTACCTGCTAAAACCTATGAAATTATAAGGTTATTGTTCGTCTAAGTATTCTAGCCATAAATTTACTAAATCCATATACTCGGGCATCGTATGCACAAAACAGTGATCGTCACCACTATGAGACCCGTGAAGAACGTGTTGTTCTAATCGATAATGGTAAAGCATTTGGTAATCCTAGTAAAGATCATTTGGACAGATTAGCTCCCCTTTATCAGTGCTGTTTGTAAGTATTTATCCGAGGCGCTGCATTTCGTTAATGTATTTTCTTAAAGGAAAGTTTTGTCAAATAATAGATTACGTGGATTACGTTCCACCATTAAATATCTTGCATCACCCTACAGTTACTTAGGTAATGCCGTTTTCAAGAAATAAGGTTGTATGGGAAGTGGACTCAAAAGTGGCACGATTCGAACCATTTTTAATAGCGTTCGTCCTTGGGTCAACATACGTCATTCTGCTAGATTTCATCGAAAACTTTCAAAAATTGCGACCTGTAGGGTAAACGCAAATTTACGTGGACAGTTATCTAAAAGACAAACAGGGTTAGACTAATTCAGATTATGATTTTGAATCAACAAAGCGATCATCTGAAAATGGCAAAGTGGTAATATAAAAATAAAAAATAACATCAATTTTAACATTATAATATATTAAATCTTTGAAAATAATCATTTCCATGTGTACGAATTGTAGAAACTAAAATTGATAATCCTAATGTTCCTTCACAAAGTCTAAATGTTAAAAATATCATTCTAAAAAATTTTTCATATTCAATTATATTTAAATATAAAAATAATAAAAAAAATAATCTTAAAACCAAATATTCTAATCTCAATAATATTGATAATAAATGTTTTCGATTAGAGATAAAAATAAAAGTTCCTTTTAAAAATAATAATCTAGGAAAAATTCAATATAAATTAATAATCATTAGTTTTAATAGTTTAATGAAAACCTTGGTTTTGTAAACCAAAATTAAATTATAAATTTTTAAAACATCAAGAAAAAAGAAATTCTTTATCATTAATCTCCAAAATTAATATTTTTATTAAACTACTTCTTGAAATTATTCTATGAATTCTTTATTCTATCATATTAATATTTAATTTTATTTTTATAAATATAAAACATCCATTAGCAATAGGATTAATTTTACTAATTCAAACTACATTAATCTCTTTAACCACTTAAAATTTTCTTGTAATTCTCAATTTCCATCAATAACGTTTCTATCTTTCTTTCTTGCTTCTCTTGTAATTTCAAGCGTTGCTCTTGTTCAGGTGTTAATGCCACCGAAATTTTCTCCTCATATTCAGCTATTGCCTCCTCATATTCCAATTTTAACGCATGCGTACTTTTAGTTGCTTCCATGCATTTTTCCTCGGCGTTAAGAAGACCTTCACGAGTTTGAATATTTTCACGTCTCATTTCCATTATTACTTTTAAAACATGTTTGATTACAGCGCGTGCTTCAAGCAAACTGTGTGCAGCATCACTCAGACTTCGTATTATCGCATCGATATCGTTGACACATACTTTTTGCTGGAGGTCAGCAATTTGATTATCACGCATTTCTTGTACACCACGCAAATTATTCAATTCATCATCGATACCAATCTCATTATCACATTCCAATCGCCTATTAATAATGCTACGATCATCCTTTAAGCGTACGTTCAGCTTCGATTAGTGATACTATGACTTCCAGTTCGCGCTCTACACAAGCAATAATCTCAGCCACCTTGGTAGAAGAAATATTACACTCTCTAGCAGAGTGGAAATGTTGACGTTGACTCTGAGCTACCTTCTGCGTAAAAAAGTGAACAGTGTCCTGAATATTTTTCATAATGCGCCTTTGTTCCTTACCTTTTGTTGATAGCCAACGCTTCCTCGCACTTGCGTTGCACTGGTATTGGTTGCCAATTTACATCAGGATTCCAAACATCGCTCGCGTCCGGCTGATAGAGACCGGCTAGATTACATAAGGAGCTCATTAGAGTGCGACCCACGTCAATTGAACGTACAAAAATTTCATCTTCACTGTAAATTTCACTCAAGAGTTTATTATAACGTTTCCGTAACCACCAATATTAATTAATAGAATCGGAAAGATTTTTGAGTTTGAATGTCTTAAATTCTGTACACTGCAGGTTTTGAGAACATTCTAAGCAAATCAACTTCAAAATGGTCTACTTAATCGAGATTTAGAGAAGCAAAATTGGGTTTCTCTTAGGTAAGCTTGATAATTTGCGTATAGAGTGCGTCCCGTGCTTTCTATTGTTTATGACGATGTAATTATTGTGTAAATAATAGTTTACTTTATTATATAACAGTAAATGCGATATTTATTGAGAAAATTCATTGACTCTGTTGTTATTTA